GAGCCAGTCGAGAAGGCGGGGGTGGCTCGCGGGGAGGCGCGTGTCGAGGGAGGAGGCGCGGGGGATGCGCGGGATGCGCGGGAGCATGCTTCGGGCAGCGCTGCGCCCTCTCGAGGCTGTAGCTGCGGTGTGGTCGAGTACAAGTACTCTGTCGACGCGACTCGACTCGACACCCGCGGGCGATCGCGATCGGCATCGCGATCGCGCGCGCCGTCCGACGGCCTTCGTGCGTCACCCGCGCGACGGCGCGTGCTCGCAGTCAATCCACGCTGCCATGGCATGCGGTCCCCGCCGCATTGCGCGCGGGGGCGGGGAGCGCGCGTCCCGCTGGTGTACTTGAAGGGCGGGCGGAGGGGAGGAGGGGAGGGGCGGGCGGTGACGGGAGCACACTGGACACTCTGTCACTGTCATGGAGGCTGCCTTCGTCGCGCCGCTTGTCTGCTGCTGCGCGGGAGGGAAGGCGGCCGCGCGCGCAAAGCCGTGCACGCAGAGCTTGGTGCGCGGCGCGAGCGTCAAGGGGTTTCCGGCCGCCGAGCAGCTCGACTGCTACTTTAGGAAGGTGATGCGGGACGAAGACGAGCGCGTCAAGCGCGAGAAAGACAAGCGCGGGAAGGGAGGCGGCGCGGGGCGGCCGGCCCGGTGCGCCCCGCTGTCGCGACGCGCGGACTGCTTTGTCGAGGTCTGTCCGCGCGGCACGCAGGTGGTCCTGCACCCACGGTTTTAGGCGCTCGTGTTTGTAATTCGCCGTCTTTGTATAGTCTTCTTTATTAAAGTTGTTGGCCCTATTCGAGCAAGAGAGCGCGGTAACAAGTAGGGCACGGATGAGAGTGCATGCGGAAGAGAGAGCGTGCGACAGAAAGCGCGTGCGACAGAAACGGCGTGCGACAGAAACGGCGTGCGGAAGAGAGTTCGCGCAAAGGACGGTGCGGGCGGAAGAGGACGCGAGCACCGTGGGGAGGAGCAAGTCGTGCACGTCGCGTGGCCAACGAATGCACAGTAGCCGTGGTAGCCGCAAATGCGGCACGCCGCGTCAGACGCTGCCTGTGACTTCAGACCATTTGATATGATTAGGGTGGTGTTGGGCAAGAATGTGCACTGTACGGTACTAGTGTACGGGTGCCTCAAGCGTAATTTCCAACAGCCTCCTTCGCACCGACAAGAAAAGCCCTTGCCTGGGGAGCACGGCCTCGACAACATCCCACGCACTGCATCCCGGAAACGTAAAGTTATGCATTGGGTGCATCCAGAAAATAACACTGTATCACTCGACTACTTTTTTGACCAATCAGCGACCGATAAAGTGGTCGCCGGCTGACTATTTTTGACCATCTGATCAAGCCCTCTCGACCCCTCTCCACTCCACCACTCCCGCACCACTTCCCATTCCATCCTTGCGCACTGGAGTTCCACATTCCAAGACCCCTCTCTCGAGCTGTCGGTGATGCCCGCTTCGCCAATGCCCTTTCAGAACAGCCGCAAGCACACTCTGGCAGCTCTAGCAGTATCGCTAGCAGCTCTGACGACATGTCTTGTCGCCCGGAGGAGGACAACAATGCGCCGCAAGCGCCGTCATCGCAACAAGAACCCAAAGTACCTCCGCCCAGCCGTTATTCGCCCTCGCACACAGCGGTCCACTCCTTGGCGCGTGCTTCTCTCGTTCGGGAAAGACTCCGACTTCCTTGTATCCGTAAATATCACGAAGGCCTTACTGCTAAACAGTATACTTCCATTTTTTATACAGGAACAATTGAAATATAACTTCGGTAGCCCTTATCGAAGGGGACCGAAAACAAGAGGACGCAGTACGCAACTGGAAAGTATTGATTTGTTCGGGTTGGCTTGAGAGGGAGGATCGGATCCGTCCAAAAGGGATGCCATGTTGAGATGACAGTGTCAGAATGCGGGCGCCAGGTTTGAGGAGGAAGGTGTGGCTCGCTTTGGGATTAGGGGATGGGGAGGTTGTCGGCGAGTGGGGGTGCAAGTGGGTGTACAGTTCGCAACATGTTCCAACTGGGGTGGAACCGCCACGGAAGGGCAGTGATGGAGTGCAAGAGTGGTGGGGACAATCAATTTTTGAAACTATCATACAATGGTAAAGTGTTAGAGTGCTATTTTCTGGATGCACCCATTCAATACATAACTTTACGTTTCCGGGATGCAATACCCTAGGGTACTGTACTATTGTTCCCTGCTTGTGCTCCATTATGTCACACGAGTACTTGTAAACAGTACAAGTAGTCAGGCATGCGGCACGGAAGCAAAGCCGCCTGCATTCCTCGACCGCCTCCCGCCTTGGCGACTCGCGCAGCGCCCCGTTACCCGCGCGCCAATCACGAGCGGCGCCTGCCATTGCCGGAATCCCCCGCGAACCAATTCTTTTCGCTTGGCGCAAGCGTGCGTTGCATCCAATCCTCTCTCCGCCTGATGTCAGGCTGTCAACAGCCCGCTGTAAAGCGGGGGGGGGGCACCGGCTCCGGGATGCAATGTCCCCGCGGCGTGTCCACGTGTGCCATGGGGGGGGGGGCGGAAATTATCACTCGATCTACGCCAACGACTTGATGACAACGGCGTTCGCGTTTCAATGGTCTCAAACGTGAACACATCAAGTCTTCATAAGATGCTGGCGCCGGGCGTTCAAGATC